GCATGGATAGGGTAGAAGTTGAGTTGGGTAGGGATGGGAATGATAAAATAGTATTGAGTAAAATTGTGGGCATGTAATTAAGAGCATGAAACAGGGCATGTTAACGTTAGTCAAAAAAGAGTACCATTAGGTATTCAACCCGCCTCCCCAAACGAATAGATATCTATAAATAGAGAAAAAAAGAAGTTCGTCGTATGTAAAGGAGGTATGTATGTAAGTGATGGGCAGGGGTAGAGGAGCATCACATATCAATCGAGTCGTTAAATCGTAGTACGCCAGTCTCACGCATAACCCCGTTAACATTACCGGGCATGCGGAAGAGGGCATCATTTGCTCCCCCGAAGCCAGCGTGCGAAGTCGAGTTTGCGTTTGCTGAACCAGCGTTTTGTTGTCGGCGCCTTTCGGCGCTTTCGTCAGATGTGTCTGCAACCAACACGAGGCCGAGCTCTTTTATCGACTCGGCCAGAGAGGGCATTACGTTCTAATATTGGAATGGTAGGTTAGGCTAGACGTATGAAGTTATGCGGTGGATAATAGGCGAGACAATAGACTTACGAGTAGGCTTGATCGGCACATAAGGCCCATAAGATTGTTGCTTTGGGCAATACGGGCGGATTCCTTGATAGAAAGGGAGGCACGGCCACTGTATTGGATTGCTGGAGATGAAAATGATGGAGGCGAGGCTGGAGATTGAATTGAGCTGATGTTTGAGTCCCGGGGTTGACCGAGGTCGTTGCAGAGCAGGACGGGGTCTAAAAAGAGGTTAGCAAGGGATGCGCTCGTTATCCACACTTAGGCATAGCTTACAGTTCGGTTGCTTCCAGTTCAAAGCTACACATATTCCGACGTTGTAACTGGTAAAGACAACAGATCTCATAAAATCCGGATTCGCCAGCCTGGATGCCCGGGCATGGTTGAACACGTGTGTGAGAATGGCGTCCGCAAAGCTGTTGATGTTGAAGGTGAGGCGGAGATCAAGCTCCTTTTGCTCTGCCGGGGAAGGGTAGAGGATGCATAGGTTTACATGGATGGACGTGGGTAAATGAAGAAGGACTTCTTCAAGAGTCAAAAAGGACGTAGCTAGGAGACGGTGGGCGGTGGGGATGTCAGTGATTGACATTGCGGCGAGGGATGGTAGTAGTGAGCTAGTCGAGCTGCTGCTGGTAGAGTTTGACTCAGAAGAAGCAGTGATAATGTTTGATGGAGGAGGATGTTCACGACCGATGGCCTTGAATTCTTCAATAGAAAGATGTGAGATGGGTATGCGGACACCATGGTGCATGATTGTAAATTCGGGATATAGCACAGGTACCAAGTCTCTCGTCATCTGGACGAATATCTGCACATAGTCTCCAGACAAGCTGGAACCTGTGACTTGGCCATTGTGCTCTGCGTCGAAAGCACTGGTAGCTTTCCAGTAGGTAGCAAAATGAGTGATTTCCAATGGATCTCCGTAGTATGGTTTGATGACCTGGAAGTTGAAGCGGATTTCACCAATGGCTCTAAGCCTGGGGTCAAATACGGGGAGACAGCAGTGACCAGAACTTCTGCCGTTATTTTCAAAGACGTCAGGCAAAGCAACTGTTTTGGCAATAACTTTTGAACCAAATGTTGGGAATATCTCAAAGTCAATTGCAAAGTTTTCCAGTTTATCAATGTGGAATGATATAAAGCGCGAGTCTTCTTGTAAAGGCAGCATGACATTACGAGGGATTAGGTCTGTCATCTTGGACGATATTGTTAGTCGTGCAGCAGCATAGCGGCCAGTCTGATAGAAGACAATGGGGTCCGCAGAGGGCGGGTTGAAATGGATCTGCACAAAGGTTTTGTTGTCCAAAAAGTTGTGGCCATAGTGACGAAGCGGGATGATGGGAGGTGGGAGGGAGAGGTCTGGAATACCGTCGACCTCAAGGGCAGGAATTTGTTTCTTCTCATCACTCAAAGGTGTGAGGGTGGCAGTCATGGCATCACGGTACTTGGGGCCATTATTGAGGACGTCGAGGGGTGTCTGCCCTGCGATGGGACGGGATATACGCTGAGACCAGAGCAGCTTCATACATTCGAGATGACCCTCCCAGACAGCATAATACATGGCCGGCAGGCCCTTTTCGTCCAAAGCATCTGCATCGACACCGCAGTCAAGTAGAGTACGCAGGCATCCAACGCAGCCCTCTGCAGCCGCGTGAAATAGGGGAGTCCATTGGTACAGCTTATCACGCTGGTCGAGATCTGCACCGTGGTCCTTGAGGAGCAGGAGAACTGCGGAGGAACGACACGAGCGCGCTACAAGATGCTGTGGGTATAGACCCTCGGCATCTGGCAGGAACTTTGCGTCTCGCTCAAGCAGGATCTTTATTAGTGCAAGTGATGCATGCTGGCAGGCTAGGTTAAGTGGTATATGATCCGACTCTGAGGCTGGGTTGATTCGGGCATTGTGTGAGAGCAGCTGCTCAACGCACGAGACCTGGTCCTTGATGATGCTGTGGATGAGAGGGGTAAAGTTATCATGATCCGTGTAGTCGATGGTAGATAGGCCCTTCTCAAGTAGAGAATGCACCATGCCAACTCGGCCGTGCATGCAGGCGTAATGCAGTGGAATTCTGCCGTATACGTCAGCCTGCGAGATATCGACGCCACGCTCGAGGGCAGCATCAAAGACGAACTGGCGCCCTGAGATAACGGCTTCATGCAGACAGTTGCGTTCATTGATGTCGTCCTCGGCATGGACGTCGACAAGGTTAGTTTCTAGCAAAAGGGTGAGCACTTCATCTGGATACTCATTGACCGCAGTCAGGAAAATGCGGGTGAGATGGTCAGCTGCATCTGGAGAGAGCTGAATCTTGCTGAGCCAATCGCGTAGAGGCTGGAGGTTCCCCGTAGCAGCAGCAGAGTTAAGTATATGGAGGTCACTGTCGTCCTCCTCTGCTATGCTGGCCGGTCTGTCCGCCTGTCTGGGAGCGTTAAACTGAATATTTTCGCCTTCCGCCCATGCCTCAAGCTCTAGCCTGGCTGTGGTAGCGCGGTCAGAGAGATCCCGGAGGACTTCTCGGTTGAAGCATGGCTGGACTTCAACCGCTCGCTGTAGATATAGCTCTTTTGTCCGCGACTATATCATTCAGTAAATACGTGTACCACGCAGAAGATATACCAGAGCACAGACACAGACACAGACGCACACACCTTTGATGTTTTATCCCACTATATATTCTGTTAGTATTGGTCTACAGTATAAGTGGTAGTTTGGAGTTGTATCTCACCTTCTTCAGTATCTTGGATACGGCGGTCTCGTTAACCTCCACAAATTGCTACCGCAGCAGATCAGCAATCCAGCACTCTATACCCAGTCACCAGAGGTATTATATACACACCTGCAGCTTGTTCAAGTCACCATCAAACTGCTGGAACCCTTCTATCAAGGCCACGAAGTTCGCGGGGGCCTTTGAATTCGACACCGTCCGGCGCGACTGAATGACCCGCTGCTTGTCGAGCAGCGTCTTGAGCCGCAACGAGAACTCGGCCTCCTTCTGCAGGTAGAAGACATTGACCTTCTCTATCTCACGCTCGAGACGGAAGAAGAAGACCTCCTTGTGCGCGCGCAGGGCAGCCTGGGCGTCGAGCACATCGCTGGACGGTTCTTGAGTAGCGCCTTGCGCCGGGATCGTAGGCGTCGCGCTGAGTTGTTTGATGAGCTGCGGGGCGCCGGTCAGCATCACGGCCTCCATCTGCCACTGCGCTGTACATGCACTCACTGGTGGGGGTGCAGTGGGAGTTCGGTACGTACCTTCTTGAGGGCCTTGTAGTTGAAGAAGCTGGCCGCGTACTCGGGCAGGTCGAGCTGGCGCCGCTGGATCTGCTTGCCGAACTTCATGGCCCGCCTCTGCTTCCTCGCTCGCGTCTGCCGCTGTGAGTCGCTTCGCTGCTCGAGTCTCGTCGCTGCTTGTCCCTTTTGCTGCAAGCCTCAGCTTCGATATCTCCAGAATCTCCAGTGTTCTTCGACGTCAAAAAACGTCGCTTTTCCTCGCGGGGCAAAAAACGGCAGACGAAGCAGAGACGCCGCGCGGGCCAATTAAAGTAGCCGCTTTGGGCAGCTGGCGAGTCGATGACCTCACTAGCGAGAAAAGCAGCCAATGCCGGAGTTAGCGCTATTAGCGCGCTACTCTTATTTCTACTACTACTCCTACTACTAACTACTACGGCGACTCCTACGATACATATATACGCTTCTACGATACACTCCTACGCTGCGGACACGGTGGACGGCATGGAAA